GTCTGTGATTCTTCCAAGTTACAGTTTCAGGTTTCAACATTGGTCAATCTCCACCGTCCATCCCTTTGTATCTTCGACCCGACCCGTCTGGATATCCACTAACGTCTTGAATAGCTTCGAGGCCAATGTTCCTTCCCCATTTTTGAATTCGGTCCTGTAAATGTTGAGTTTATACAACCCTCAGTTCATTAGACCACTTGCAAAAACCATAAATTTAAATTTTCAGCCGTGATAAAGCTTATTTTGTATATATGTATTTTATTTTTAAAATAAGTAAAAAAAATACAGAAGTTATTACTTTTTGTCTTTGAATGTTACGGACGCGATATTTGTGACGATGGCAGCAGTTCCAGTGCAGAAAACTTCTTCCGCGTCGATAAGGTCTTCAACGGGAACAACACGTTCTTCCACCTATTACCACGATCATATATCCAAGTTAGTTATTTATAATATATGATCAATATTAATTTGAAGATATTGGTAACTATTAAATAAATGTATGCATGGAATTATGACTAGCTAATTACAAACCTTGTAGCCAAAATCACTAGCTAATTCAATGACACATTTTCGTGTGATTCCGGCCAAAATGGTTCCCGAAAGTTCTGGAGTCGTCACAACATTTCCCTATATACAAAAATCACATGGACCGATCTTAATATATTCAATCTTAACATTTTAGAACGTCTCTATATTTATATATGCAATTGTACCTTGACAATGAAAACGTTAGCTGCGAAAAGTTCTTCCACGTTTTTGCCAGTTGCAGCATCCAAAAACAAAACATCAGAGAAACCTTGTTTTTTCGCCTCGATCATTGTTATCCAAACCTTTAACAAGAAAAAGAAAAAATCCATTACAATCATGTGGAAAAATCTTAAGTACGTATAGTCATGTAAAATATTGAAATTTGATGTATATTTTTAACTTACAGGAGAATAGTTTGTGATACTCTTCACACCACCAGTTCCACTTGAAAACGCTCGACGAACCTTATCTTCGATTTTCAGATTCAATCCGGAATTATCCTATACCAAAATAATATTGGAATTTAACATGAAATTCACACCAAAAAGTACCAATAATATTATTATTGAGAAGATTACTAACCTTGTGATAACGTCCAACAGGACAGGCAAACACTGTGAAGTTGAACTCAGGGACCGGAAGTGAACCAAGAATAGGACCACTCCCAAACAAGAGTGGCCTAAGATACAATGCTCCTTTCCCTGGAGGAGGAATCTATACATATAATTCGCAAACAAAATAAAGAAGCCATTATTAATTAACATTAAAAAGGAAAATATATATATATCATGTTATCATAAGATCCATAGTAACGATGTATATAAAAAAAAAATATCCATAGTAATGAAGAATGCATATAATTAATTAAAAGATCATATATATATACCCATTTCTTGTTGGCAAGAACAACTTGTTTGATGGCGGAAACAAATTGTTCGACGGAAGGATAAGGCATACAGAGTCTGTCGGCTCCGGCTTGAAGTCGGAGACCATTTTGGTCCGGTCGGAACAGAATAATCCGATCATCTTCTGTCCTGTAAGCTTTCAAGCCTTCGTATAAACCCTAATCATACAAAAATTGACCACACATATTTAAGACTCGATTGCTTGTACATGCAACATCAATTTCATTAAGTTCACATATAAATTTTTGTGGTTTTAAAACTCACATATAAAATTACTGATTCTTTTTAAACTTTCAAAATTACAATAGCTCAAAGATGCATGCAATATATATTTGCTAAATCAATATTAATCAATATATGATTAGCTCAATCATCTGTTTATCAGGGAGAAAGGTATTCATTTGTTAATAGTTTTTCTTTTCATCTAATATAATGATTATTTTTTCTTAATTACTTGATCCCTATTAATGAATATAATAACAAACCTGGCCATAATTAAGAACTGAAGAGCAAGGGCTGATTTCGAAATCAGCATAAGGAACAATCTTGCCTTCTTGGAAACTCTCTCCAAAACTGCACTTAGCTACATACATATTATCCGTACGAACAAACCCGAATCCCAACTCTTCCCACTTCACATTCGCGTACTTCTCATCCGAAACACTGTCAAGTTTGTTAAAAAAAACCACTGTCAAGTTAAATTTC